TTATCAAATGCCTTTTCTGCATCAATTGATATGATCATGTGGTTCTTCTCCTTTGTTTTATTTATGTGGTGGATGACATTGATTGTTTTTCTAATGTTCAACTCCATCTTCAAGAGGTTTTAGTTAACGGTTCTTAATGACTGATTGCTGACTGAGAGAGCAGGTGTGCATAGACACAGACAAGAATACCACCCACCTCTGCTCCCACTACCCATTTTCAATTTTAAACTGAACTGGAAGGCCTCAACTATGTTGGTAATTGTGAAAAGCAAAATAGGACGTTCAGTAAAAATAGTAGAGGTGATCCAGTTTGGTTCCTGCCGTCACTTGCTCAGCCTTCACTTTCAGGGGTGAGTGAGTGCAGAAACCAGTGTGCTGTTCAGATTACGTGGAACACACCTTACAGGGCTAGTTACTGCCAGAAGCATCCTGAACCCAGTCCTTATGGCCCCTAAACCAGGTCTTTTTTCACTACATCAGAAAACGGCCTTCATAGAATGCTCATTAGCATTTGAGTAATACTGTGTGGAAGTTTACAGTTGAATAATTGAAATAAGTCTTATGGACAAATACCAGATCACATGTTCGAAAGACTGGCTCTTTGACTGTCCTTCATGAGATTGCGGTGTGTCCCACTTCAATGCAAATGGAGCACGTTCTAGGTACCATAGCCAGTTTTTTTTGGCAGCTGTTCCACATCGAGATACATGTAAATTTGCTTCCTTTTTAAAAAAAAAAAAAATGTGTTGTGATGAAAAGATAGCAAACCACTTGCCAATTCAACTTCTTTTACACATTCTATTAAACATTACCATAAATTTTTACACATCTTTGCCTGTATTTACATACTTCATAAAATAGTCTTTGATGTGGACTCATTTGGCGAAAGGTTATGTGCAGTCATAATTTTGGCTGGCGTTGCTGACCTCTGTGGTTTCTGGTACCACAGCCGAATGCTCTTTCTCCCTCTTCTCTTGACTTCCTGAAATCTCTCCAGTTACTGCCTCCACTGAAGCCTTCTCTTCTTCAGCCTCCTGTCCGCTGTTTAGCTCTTCCTCATCTAGAGCTCCTTAACTCCAGTAATTCAGCCCTTCTCTGGACACTGCCTCCCTGCTCTCTGGTCCTGACCCATGCTCTAGCTCCACACCTGCAGCTCTTCCACTGGAAGAGTCTTCCACTCAGAGTCCGCCTTGCCAGGCCCTTTCATCACCCTGTCTTCCTTGCAAATGAGGGATGGGGTTCCATCTCCAAACCAGAGCATTTATGCCTCGCCCCACCTCCTCCCTGTTCAACTGCACAGATTTTCCATTCTAGCTAGACTAGTTGTCTGGCTGCTTCTAGTACTGCCGCCTCGCCTGATTTCCACGCTGCTTCTCTCCTAAAAAAAAAAAAAAAAAACTCTCAAGTCAGTTTCAACTCACAGCGACCCTTTCTTGGGTTTCTGAGGCGTATCTCTATGGAGGTAGATTCCCTAGTCTTCCTTCTGAGGAGTGGCTGGTGGGTTTGAACCGCCAGTCTTCTGGTTAGCTGTCAGATGCTTTAGAGACTACGCCACCAGAGCTGCTGCTTCTGCCCTGGAGCAGGCTTTTGTCTTCTCGTTGCTTTTCCAAATCCCTCCCAACCTTCAAAGCCCAAAGCAACCCCTGATATGAAGCCTCTTCAGCCTGACTCCCCTCATCTGAGCATTTACTTTTATCAGATCAGCACATATGTTCTTGGGACATAACTCGTCTGGTTGTTTACCTGATTTCTTTGTGCTTTTGGGTCATCAGGGAGTTCTCGTGGCGCTGTCATTAAAGCATTGGGCTGTTAAGCAGTATGTCAGCTGCGCCACAAGAGAAAGATGGGGCAGTCTGCTTCTGTAAAGATTTACAGCGCTGGAAACCCTGTGGAGCAGTTTGCCTCTGTCCTATAGGGTTGCTAAGAATCAGAGTCAACTTCATGGCAGTGGGTTCGGTTTGGGTTTGGGTCATCTTGTATACTGAGTTAGAGGGTGTTCTGGTTACCTAGTGCTGCTCTGACAGGAATATACCACAAATGGGATGGCTTTGACAAATAGGAGTTTTTTCTCTTACAGTTTGGAGGCTTTAATTCCAAGTTCAAAGTGCCAGGCTCTAGGGACTGGGTGAAAGCCCCTCAACCTTGAGCTTCAGCTCTGCCTCCTGCTCCTGGCCCACTGGAGGCTAGAGGCATTTCTTCACTCAGACGGCTGTTGACTGCTGAGACTGACAAGCCCAAGGTTGACAAGTAAAAAGGCACAGTCCCGATGTTACCAAACCACATGGCAGGCCACTAATTCAAGTCCACTGTAAGTCCCCAGGTCGGCAGAGCATGGCAGGCTGCTGAACAACAACACGGCTACATGTAGGATTCAAGCGTGCCATAAGCTAGAGACCATGACCAAAGCTGCTGCTTATATATTTACTCTGAGTCTAGCAATGCCAGAAGTTCAGGCTTCAGAGTAACTGGACTTTTTGTTACATTGTAGAAGCAGACTGCATCCCCAAAGCAGCTACTCAGCTGCTTGTGGTAGGTAGGTCCCACCATGGAGCTGATTGCCAGTCTCATCAGGGGGAATAACTACCACTAGCTGCCCACGCACTCATCCAGGCCCAGCCAAGTTGACACACAACCTTAACTACCACAGAGGACCATACTCGGTACTCCTCCGTGCACTGACATGCTTTCCTGACCCTAGTAAGGGATCAGAAAAAAGATGACATCATGACATAATCCTTTACCCACCCCCAAGTGCCATTGACTTGGATGGGAAACACGTGGTATTTCTGGGATGCTGAGATGTTGATGTGCATGTGAGGGAGTGACTGGGCCCTGGCTGGGAAGCTGTCTTGGAAGGAAGGAGGCCAGACACAGGCCATGGGAGGCTGATGTCAGTCTGGACATTGGGTGCCTAAGACCTCGCTTCTTTGTTGAAAGGTTTGTCCGATATGTGCTTCGATGCCCTGGGGAGACCCCAACTACCGCAGCGCCAACTTCATAGAGCACATCCAGCGCCGCCATCAGTTTTCTTACGACACTTTTGTGGTGAGTCTGGAGCCCAGGCTCTGCTCTCTCCCCGGGGACAGCACAGCTCCCTCACTTCGCTTCTGTGGGGAGCTCTGGGCCCCATTGCTGAGCTTGGTCACCTGATGAAATGGGCGCCTAGTCCCTGGAGGGGCAGCTGTGTGGTCACTACTCATGAGCCACGTGGGTGGCCAGAGCCTCGTTGTGTGGTTTGTATTTGAGAAGATGAATGGTTGGTCATCTAGACAAGTTTGCCTTTTTTCTTCCCCCCTAAAAATTTTTTTTTTGCCCACGTACTTTTGGTGTGTATAGTTTCTACCTGTTGTTTAATTTGTATGTATAGCTACATAGATCAATCTGAAGCTCAAGTGCTCATGGGACCAGCAATTACTGGAAGCTGTCCTCATGAGGATTTCCAAGCTGGAGAGTGGGTGGCTCATTAAGGCAATGGGGAGAGTAGCTGCTGTCACTTCCAGCTGATTCTGGAACTGATGGAAAGCCAGGCACACTGTGGCCTGTCTCCTTCCCTATCCACCCCTCCTCCAGAAGCCAGAAATGCAGACTTTCACATGAAGTGTCACAGATTTTATTTTTTTAATACCTCAGGTCAAACAAAGCACATTCCTGAGCCAAACTGGTCATCAAGTTGGCATCCATCCCCCAGAGCTGGGTGGTTTTGAAGTGGCACACTGTTGTCCTGACAGTCCAGTGAGAGAAACATGGCCACTGTTGGAAGTGAACCTTTCTTTACACAAAATGTCAAGTTAGGCTTTAGAGTAGGATGAAGTCTCAGTGTCTGCATTTCAGGAGCTGAGAAGGGACGCCCAGATCTTTCCTAAGGTGCCATAAAGAGTATTTATTTATTCTGAGTCTTAACAGTGCCAGCAGTTGAGGCTTCAGGGTAACTAGGCTTTCTGTTACGCTGTAGAGATGAGTAGAATTGCTAAAAAATGCCCAAATAGATAATTTTGTCTCAATAAAGAAAGTTTTACTATAGTTTCTCTTGTATGTTATGGTCCTAAAAACCCCATTCTGTGCTGGGCCCTGAAGTCACCGTATAGAAAAAACCCTCAACCAAGTGTGTTTGTGCAGGTTTTGGCTTCCCCTGCCAATGAGCTACATTAAAATGTGGCAAGCATTTGGTCTGTGCCAGGCCCCCTTCTAAGCGTCTTACGTATGCTGTCTGGTCCTCACAGTGTCCATGTGAGGGGAGGCATCCTTGTTCACATTGGAAGGGTAAAGCAGTAGAGCCTGGAGAGGTTAAGTTATTGCCCACCATTAGACAGCTAGCATAGCAACCAGTGGGGCTAGGTCTAGCCCCGGGAAGCCCCTGGCGAAGCCCATCACTGGACTGCCCTTCCTCACTTACTGAAAGCAAGTCTTTGCAGCTGCAGACAGTTGCAGCAGCTGAATGTCTGTGTTTTGCTGCAGGATTACGATGTTGATGAAGAGGACATGATGACTCAGGTGTTGCAGCGCTCCATCATAGACCAGTGAGCAGCCTCTGCTGTCCATCTCCCATCCTAGAGCTTCCACGTGAAACACCGTCAATGTACAACAGACCTGGGAGTGAGCCATGGCATTAAGGACAGGGCCCTTCTGGCAGGGGAAATAGGGGCCCAGGTTAGAGCCCCCTCTTTCCCTTGGGCTCTTACCAAAGCTGTCATCCCCTCCCATTAACCTTGTTTGTCACATGCTCTAGTCTTTTATTAATCCTCAGCTACTGCCTCCCCTGGAAGAATCCAGCTTCCCACTTCCACCTGCTCTTGTCTCGTATTTGTTCCTCCAGGCTGTGTTCACCTCTCAGGTCCTCCAGGCCAGCCCGGACTTTCTGGGTAACAAATAGCACAAATGAGACAAGCTTCTTTGTCCCTGAGGGGTGTGAGCTCTAGCAGCAGTGCGTCTGGCAGTGAGAACCACTTAGCGTGCTACGCAGCTTCCTGTGAGCTGTCATTAGCGGCAGCTGCCAGAAGCTGGAAGTCCAGTCCTATTGGGCTGATGCGGGAAGGTTCAGTTATAGTATTTTCCTCCTGCGCACACCCGTAGTGTTAACTGGTTCAGTCTTAAATGCCTGCCTGGTGCCTTTTTAGGATAAGGTGTTACCATATATTTTTAGTGAAAGCGTTTTCTAGGTTAGGAAAGTTAAAACCTATATGTCCATAAATGGAGCAAAAGGGTCACCTTAGAGAAGTGGGAGGGTCATGGCTTTTTCGTTCTGATTTTCAACTAAATGAGCTATTTTCCTGTGACGGCATCAGGTTTACGTCTATTTGGGGGCTTGCTTACAGTCTTGTCCTTGAAGCATGAAAAGGAGTTGAATAAGGAGGAGGAGGTGGGAGACTCCAGTGGATTCTGGCTCTGTATCTTCTTTTGGTGACTCAGTTTGGACTGAGCTTTATTTGCCTGTCACTGGTGGGTTTCCTTGTGAAGCTGGTTTAAGCTTGTAAGTCGGTGTGTGTAAACCTTCCCTCCAAACGCAGAGAAAGGTTTTAGGCAATCTGATAGCACACCCCATTGCCTCTGATGACAAGATAGACTGTTCTTAAAGGAGCCACGTTTCCTGATGAACAGTTGTTGGTAACAGCTGTCTGCTGGAAACTTGGTTTGGGTAACAGGTCAAGAAGCCCCAAATTCAAGATAGTTCATGAATATTAATAAAGTATAAAACGTTTGTCAGCCTACTTTGTAGGAGCAGAACCTCTGATCAACCGAAAGGCACATGAAATTAGGTCCATTTTGTCATGTGAAACATCTCAGTCTGAATGTGGCGATGCTTTTCGCCTGTGTCCTGCTGCGGGACTGCTTCCTCCCTGCCGGGCAAGGCTGGGCCCATTTGAGGCAATAACTTTCTGCCACACTGTTGCTTGGGAGGGTCCCAGCATTAAGGTCGGCTTCCTCTCTCTAATTTCTGGAGATGGCTCGCTCAGGCCTCCCTGGGCCAAGAGCATCTCTGGAAGGTCTGGAGGGGCCTGGACAGAGGCTTGTGGGAGGGTCTGAGGGGAGCACCATCCAGCTGGTGGTTCAGAGAAACTTCCTTTCTCGTATTAAGTGCACTTCATGTATTTCTAATAAGATGACTTTCCAGAAAGTGAGATTTGTTATGTTCTGGCTTTTAAAAGGCAAAATAGAAATAAATTTCATAATATATCCAACTGGTAAGTGGTAATGACTGTTTTCATTAAACACCATTTGCCAGGAAGCCTCCAGAAGACTGCTGAGGGACAGGTTCTTGTCTGTCACTGAGTGGGGCAGGCTGGCTTCCCATCACACTCCTCAGCTGGGCCTCGCTGGGCAATGAGCACAGTCCCTGCTTCCCACAGCTGGAAAGCTCCAGTGAGGCGAGAGGTGGGCTGCTCCGGGAAGCAAGGTTGTTGGGCACGCTCCCATGACGTGGCAGTAACGCAGGGACGTCACAGGTTCCACAAGCTAAGATTTCAGTCCCTAGTGTGTTTGACTCTACACTCTGCCACTGGTTGGGGATGTCTGGCAGATGTCCCCTTTCTGAACTTGCTTCTCTATCGTGAAATGGGGATAGTGATTCCTTACAAGGATGTTAGGATTCTAGGAGCAGTGTATGCAAGGCCTGAGCACTGTGCCTGCCGTCTCGTGGCTTCTCACGTGAGGCTTGGCTGCTGAGCTCATCTGGGCTTCTCCATGCCCATCCCCATCCCATGGGAACCTTGTGGTTGATATGGCCCAGACTGAGCTGCTCCTGTCCAGCTGCCTCCACTTGGGCCCCTCCGTCTTCCCTGTCATTCCCTTCGGCAGGTACCAGAAGCTGCTCAAGCCAGAAACCTGGGGATCCTCTCGCCCCCCCACATCCATACAGACTACTTTGGCTTAAGGACCACTTAAGCTCTGAGTTCTCGTTACAAGTCAGGAAGTTGTAATCTCTGCCTCTGTTTCCTCAGGGGGCAAGTACACGGGCTGTTCTTGAAATCCCTTGTCATACCAAAATACCAAAAAAAAAAAAACCTCACTGCCATCGAGTCAATTCAACTCGGCGACCCCTCCTTGGGATACATCTCTAAGGAAGTAGATTGCCCAACCTTCCTTCCAAGGAGTGGCTGGTGGGTTTGAACCTCCAGCCTTCTGGTTAGCAGTCAAATGCCTTAGGCGCTATGCCATAGATTTTTAAGAATGAAATTTAAGGCCTGAATGAAAGAGGGGACAAGCCAAGTGAATGTATGGGAAGAACATTACAGCAGAGGGAACCAAGTTCAGAGGCCTGGAGATGGGAGCATGTGTGTACCCTTGAGGAACTGCAGTGAAGAGGTGGCCGAGACAGTCAAGCTGGAAAGGACGAAGGAGCCATGTGGAAGACGGGTCGTCCAGGGTCTGGTAGGTCAGGAGGACTTTGATGAAGCTGGTACATTGGGGGCTTCTGCTTCTGAGTGACATGAGCTGGCTTCAGTTTAAATAGAATCCTGGCAGCATATAGGGAAAGGAGTGTCCCAGGGAGAGACCGAGACGAAGGTGATGGTGGCTAGGAACCATGTGGTAGGAACAGGAGCGCTGAAGTGGTCCAGTTTGGTCAGACACTTCTTGAGGTGTGAGAGGAGTCTGACTCCCAGAGAACAATGTGGGACAAAAAGATCATGAAAGACCAGGGTTTGGAATTGACTTGACGGCAGCGAGGGTTTTTTGGACTCTCTACTTATATATTAATCAATTTATTCCTCCATCGATATATTAATAAATTACTTAACTGAAAAAAAGGTTTACTTGGTCTGATAGAGACAAGTGAGACCCCTGAGACTGTGGCCCCTAGTTACCCTTCAGGTCTGGAACTGAACTCTTGTGGCCTCCAGCCAAACAGTAGACAGGCATATGGAGTGAACATTTACATCAGACAGATACACTCCTTGGAGCAATCAGTCAACCTGTGGGAGAACAGAAGGGCAGTGTTTGCACAGGGAGACAGTTCAGGGGGCTGGAGTGCATGGGAGGGAAGGACACAGGGACGTTAACTACAGGGAGGAAGTGGGGAGAGAGATGTTACACTGTGGGGAATTGCAGTCAATATTGTGAAAACAAAACGTGTACGAGGTACTGTATGGAAAACGAATTTGCTCTGTAAACTTTCACCCAAATCACGATAAAAATTTTAAAAAAAACTCCTAAGTCTGGAGCCTGAATGTCTGGGTGAATAGAAGTGTCTTTCGGAGAAGAGAAGAAGACTCCATGAGGAACAGATGGGAGAATCAGTGGTGTGTTACAAATGGGTACTTGGGGCTTGGGATGAGACTGCAGGCATCATCCACAGATGCAGAAAGTGCCAGCTCTCAAGCAGCTTAAAGAGTTTGAAAAGGATGTGCCCTGGGATATGACGTTATCTACTCTGATGTCAAAGATGCAAGTGGCTAAAACTGTTCCTGAAATGTATGAGTAGACAGAAGCAATATTTCTACATTTGTTTAGGTAGATATTTGAGAATTTCATCCGCGGTGATAAAAGCTCTTGGGTTCAATTTGGCTGGAAAACTTTAATCTTTCAAGGGAAGAATGGGCAATTTCCTTATAATCAGATATATGTGGTATCTACTAAGTACTTATGTGCCAGCACTGTGCTAGGCACTAGGGATTCAGACATTAAATTACATCATAACAAACTGATACACGTTCATGGTAAGAGGCCAGTAAATAGTAGCTACGTAATAAATGACCTTCTTCTTTGTAGAGAAAGGAGCCCTGGTGGGACAGTTCTTAAGCACTTGGCTGCTAACCAAAAGTTTGGCGGTTCAAACCCACCCATAGGCTCCATGGGAGAAAACCTGGCAATCTGCTCCCATAAAGATTACAGTCTGGGAACTCTTTGGGGCAGTTCTGTTCTGTCACACAGGGTTGCTATTAGTTGGAATTGACTCTGGCACCCAGCAATGACAACAAAGGAGAAAGGGAGGTTCTATATCAGAACTAACAACTACTCACTGACTTTCTAGACGCAGGGGAAGACTGATGCCAAGACACATGGAGATCGCCAACGGACTCTGGGCCATGGACGTTAGAAGGACTCGAGGGCCTTCCTCCAGAGCTGGTACAGAGAGAAAGCTTTCCCCTAGAGCTGGTGTCCTGAATTTGGACTTCTAGCCTGCTAAACCATGAGCATTTCTGTTTGTTCAAGCCATCCACTTGCAGTGTTTCTGTTAAGCATCACTAGAAGACTGAGACATCCTGTCAGGGAAGCAGCACTCTGGACTAAGACACCAGGTGAGGGGCTGCACACAGGCCTCGAATTCTTGGCTCACCCACCTTGTGTCCCAATTACAGCGGCTATCTGCATTAGAACTTCACGTGTTACGCTCCTGCAGAACACTCCTAACATTAAGAAGGGCATTTACTAAGCAGGGGTATAAATGCCCCCAATAGATCATGGGGGCCTTGGTGGCATAGTGCTTAAGGGCTCTGCCGCTAACTGAAAAGGGTGGTTGGAACCCACCAGCTACTCTGCAGGAGAAAAACATGGCAGTCTGCTCCCATAAAGACAACAGCCTTGGAAATCCATGAGGCATTTCTGTTTTGACCTGTAGCATTGC